CATCACGGGAGCCTTCATCCTGAATTTTAAATCCCCTCCTTCCCTCTCCCCCTCGCCCTGGCCCCCCAGCTGGATATGAGAACTGGATATGAGATATGAGTACCAGATATACTGGTGAACAAATCTTTCTTTTTGCGTTTCGTTCTCTAGTCGTGAGCACAATCAGCGGCATTCGTGCAGATTGGAGCGGGAATCGTCAGTACAGCCACCTGCTGCCAGTTGTGGGACGTAGTTGCAACTAAGTGCTTAAAAAAAACCGCATTAAGGAGAATAATCTCAAACAGAGGGGGAAGAAGAGAGATCACTGAAGAAGCTGATGAAGCATGAGAAAAGAAAAAATTATTCCGCCAGTATCTGTGTTTTTGCCTTTAATTGCTGTGGTTATATTTTTAATTTTTGCTTAACAGTATTCTCCAGAGAGTTGCCCGAACACCGGAAATGCAATTAAAAGTCGCCCAATATAATTTCTCAAAAAAAAAAAGAACCTACTTTAACCAGGTGATTAAATTTCACCTAATTAACAACAGGTTCTTTTAATTTTTTAAAAGTTTGCCGAAAATGCGGTTAAATTTTTTTTCGAACAAGTTAATTGAATTAGAATTTTAGTACTGCTGCGACAGTATGCAGTGTGATTGTAATACCTCTCCTGTACTATTATATCCAAGTGATACAAACAACACTTACCGATGAGGTCGAATTTTGCCGACAGCGCTCTGGCAGAATGTGGCAGGAATTTATTTTCACTGAAGAGGTCAGCTTTTTATTTCTTTTCTTTTTTATCCTGTAAATTTCAAAAATAAGGAAAATGTGGAAAATTCTTTTGAAAAAGTAACAAAGACAGTGTTGGAAGGAAAGATGTTTGGCGTATCTCTTCGCGACAACATAAACAGTCAGACTCTCTGGCAGGATGACTGACAGCACATCACAGCGAACATACAAAAGTGAAATTCAATGCGCAGGCCATGCCAACAAGCGGTAGACATCGCGTATTAGTGACTGGTACCCATGAGAAAGTAAACGAACGCATAGACGATTTTTTAGAATTCCAGTATTTTCGAAATGTCTCATAATTGCATACCCATAAACAGTCCTCTGCAGAAGCATGTGTATGCGCATCGCTCTGCCAACGATTATTCGTGATTTTCAGACACTCGGTCTAAGACAACGACGCTTTCGGCGTGGTCGACGTCAAACAAGCCCAGAGTACTACGTAGCAACCGCAAAAGAGGAACTGGCAACAGCAAGTCTTTCCTATGATCAGCCTGATTTTCTGCCTGCATCGCCGGGTGTGCATCCTCCAGCTCCAGAGCCTGAATGCTGCAGTTGCGGAATTGGCGAAGCTGGACCAGTAGGCCGACCGGGAATTCCCGGGGATCCAGGTTTGTTCAGTGCAGCTGGGCAAAATCTGCGAGGGATCGCATAGTTTTTTATTTTTGACGTTCTTATCAATTGCCTGCTTTGTCTTCCGTGATTATAACGAGTAATGGGTAATAAGGGGTTCTCTGGGGCCTAATTTTTTGCTAATTTTTTTTTTCATTATTGGTCCGTGAAGCTACAAAAAACTATCCGGGCGCTTACAACGTAATATGAAAGTAAGCTACCACTTTTCAAATAAATGTTTGGATTATATGTGTGAAGGATAAGAGATGAACAAAACAGAAAAGAATGAAGTATTCGCCAGATGGACCAATGGTGAGAGGGAATGCAATAGCGAAAAAACAGCTGAATAAGTTTTTCTGAGAGACAGTTACAAAATTCCCACCTAGTAAGATTTTATCGATTCGGTGAGATGCGGTGAAATAGCAGAGATCCCTTAATTGAGACACGGGATATTCACTTTTACATAATCATAACTATGGTGAACTTGCGCTTTCCAATAACTGGCTCTTATTCAGCCACTTTTTAATAATTTCGTTTATGAGATATAGCACCGTTTAAACTTCAAAAAAAAAAGTTTCTGAAATATATCGAACTTATTAGATCAAACATCTTCCAGGCTACGATGGTGCGCCAGGTGAGGATGGCCGCCCAGGTCCAGATGCGATGGAGGGAGTAGATT